GAAGGGCTATTGACAATACCCATGGGGCATAGTACACAAATCAAGGGAGGAGGAGTGATTCGTCAAAGTTAGGTAGAAGGAAGCGCTCTACCCAGGGACTCCAAATGCACAAGAATTTAGGGATCGTGTCAAAAATTGTGGCTTCTACCTTTGCATGTATCATGGCTTGTGTTAATCTGGTTTTGACAGCCGCAACACTTAGAGTGGGGGATTTCCAGGATTTCGCTATAACCTGCTTAGCCGCCGTCGTGACTTGCATAAGGAGCTTGAATTGCGAATTGGAGATGCCATGGGGGCGTTGATTGAGTAGGGCTGTTGTTGGATCAGGTCGTAAAGTGATAGTACTGAGTGTGGATAGATAGTATGGTGAAAATTTCAGCCCAGAAGATTCGGGCTACTGGGCAGTCCCACCAAATGTGGTAATGTGTTCCTGGGTCCGTACAGCCTCTGAAACAGTTGGGTGAATAGCTAGGGGTAAATTTTGCAATTGCCGCCGGGACCAAGTACTAGCGAGTTAAGACTTTATAGTTCGTTTCTAATGCTAGCACATTCAGTTTTTTTAAACAATCAACTAAGCTGGCGAGAAATAGTCATGTATGCAGATGTTGATCTTTTCCCCCAGTTGCAAATAATGGCCCCTTGTCCTTTGTAGTGAGCTTAAAGTGAATAACACTGCGACAAGGTAACTATATGGACCATCCATGTATTTATACATGGTGATCATATCCCCCTCAACACTTCTTTGGAAGAGGAATAAATTCAGATCAGCTAATCCTTCCTCATGGCTGACGTCCTCTTTTATCAGATAAGTGTTTCTTCTCTTCACCTTCTCCAGTTCTCCAACATCCTTTTTGTGAACTGGTCCTCAAAATGAACTATTTCAGATGTGGCTTTACTAAAGCTTTGTGCAGGGGCAAGATTATGTCTCTCGCTCTGGAGTCTATCCCTCTTTTAATACAAGAAAGTATTGTGTTTGCATTAGAAACTTGGCATTGCATGCTATTATTAGGTCTATGGTCTACCAGAACTTTCAAATCCTTCTTGATTATTGACTCTCCCAGTTGTACTCCTCCTATTATGTTTGATGCATGCATGGTTTTAGCTCCCAAGTGCATAACTTTTTTAAGCGTTGCGCAAACTGTTGGTGCTATATAAATCCTGTATTATAATATTAATATTAATAATGTTATACTGTCAGGAATGGACTCGCCAATAGTGGTGGGACTCACCTGCCTTGTGGGTTGCAGTACCAGGACTGGCCAGCGGGGTGCTCTCAGCAACCAGAGGCTCACTCCTGCAGTCAGCCAAAACACCTGAGGTTGATTGCAGGAGGTGCATATAAGGAATGGCCAGACTTGCAATCAGGGCCTTGGTGTAATGTCAGGGCTCCGGGTATGACCAGAGGTGTGTGGACTGACACAGGGAAACGCAGGCTTCAGATATAGTATAAACAATATAATTTATTTAAGACTAAACAATACATAAACGCAGTGCAAGACTAAACATAAACACAGTGCAAACAAACCAAACCAAAACCCCCAAGAGATAACAAAAGAACAATACTAAGCGTAGTCGGGCAGGCCGGGTTGGTAGCAAACGGGCAGGCAAGGTACAAAGGAGCAGGCAGAGCGTAGTCAGACGGGCCGGGTCAGGAACAATCAGGCAGACAAGGTACCAAAGGAGCAGACTGGAGAGTGGTCAGGAATAGCAGAGGTCAGGACAGGCGGAGTTCAATCAGAGTCAGGGATCAAGCAGGATCAGACAGGATGCAAGTACAGGGGCTCTTGGGAAACATACACCAAGGCCCTGATTGCAAGTCTGGCCATTCCTTATATGCACCTCCTGCAATCAGCCTCAGGTGTTTTGGCTGACTGCAGGAGTGAGCCTCTGTTTGCTGAGAGCACCTGCTGGCCAGTCCTGTTACTGCAACCCACAAGGCACTTGAGTCCCACCACTATTGGCGAGTCCATTCCTGACATATACTCACCTGCTCAGAGTGGCTTTGATCCTGCTCATCTCAGGTCCCCCAATGGCAATCTTGGCTTCTCCTCTTCTTTGTGTGTCCTCATAGCAAGCCGTTTGTTGGAGGAGCACACAGTGTCTGCTCGGTCCCATGCTGTGTGTCTATGGAGCTGCGTTCCATAGACGTACATAGCGAAACAACCCCCCCACCCCACTTCTTCCTCATTGCATTTGATTGACAGTAGCAGGAACCGATGGTTCCTTCTGCTGTTCGAGTCCCTTTGTGAACCGGAAGAGAGGGGAGAAGAGATTCAGCCGTGCACAGCACTGGATCTCTTCTCCCTTCTCTTCCCCTTCACACAAGGAAGGGGGAGGACAGAGAAATAGAAAACGTTTTTTTTTTCTTAATGCAAAGAATGCATTAAGTTAACAAACATGCTTAGCTTTAGTATCACTTTAACTTAGACATTAGCCAAGTTTTTGGGGGACTGTGTCAAATGGTCAAATGCTTTTGCAAAGACCAAGTGTAAAATATCCATAGATATGTTTGACAAATTCAGTTTTTGTGAATACCTACTGAAAATTGTTTAGAATATTGTTTTCTAGCAAAACCACTAAAGCATCAACCACTTAATCAACCACCAAAGTATCTTCCTGACCATAGAAGCTGAACGGGTCTGTAGTTACTTGGTGAAGACCTTGTTTCCTTTTTTAATATAGGCATCACAATGGATGTGTGTCAATTTGTTGTAACGGAGCCACACATTAAAGGGTCAACTCTTGAGAGCAACTCCACCAAAGGTACATCGATGAGTGAATGCATAACAGTAACTGTAATGGTTCTCTACATTTTCTCCTTTTTCTTCAGTCTCTTGGTCTGTAAAAAAAAACAACTTAATTTTCAATTTGGACTTTCTCTTTGACTTTAATTTTATTTTCAATTATGCGCTGACAGGTCTTCCCAGCAGCAGTCTTTCTCCATGCTTTGTAAATCATATGATCCTACACCTCCCTTCTCTTTCTCTTCTTTAATATTATGCAGCATAAGGAACCTTCTATCTTTCCATATCGATCATTCCAAATGTTTCACCCTGAAGGTGGATCACACTAGGGTCCCATTCGTTGCTCTGGCTGAGGTGTTCTCACTGGTAGCAGTGGTGTATTTAGGTTTTGTGCTGCCGTAGGCAACACGAAAATTGGCGCCCCCCCGCCGAGAGAGCCTGACATTGACTAACAACACCCCTGCCCCCATCAAAGAGAGCCTTCCACTACCACTGCCCCCCCCAACACCAGCCACCATCCCCCATAGCGAGAGAGAGACACTCACCTTCACAACTCCAGACATCCCCAGGAACGAGAGTTGGGCTGTGCATACACCATCATGAAACCCGCAGCCTCTCTCGGAATCCACCATGCTGCATGTGTCCCTTCTTCCGTCCCTTCTTCCAAGGGGCAGTGCTGCCCCCCCTGAAAAATGCCACCCTAGGCAAATGCCTTGTTTGCCTTGTAGTAAATACACCCCTGACTGGTAGCTTCAGAACCACAACCAGAGTGCCAAAATCAGCATATCCCTTTCCACAGCCTAGGGGCTGCTGTGATGTCATGTCCTCCCTGATATTTGGCCAGCTTAGTATAAATGGCGGCCAGAATGTGAGTTATCACACCCTGAAAATTGCCAAAGGTGTCAGGATCTGGCTGCAGATTTTTGGGATTCTTAGATTCAAGCCAGCATACTTGCTGTGCAATCATGGCAAATGAAGAAGCCTAATGTAGTGAAAAATTGCAGTGTCAAAAAAAAGAATTTCAGCCTGGAGGCATTGTATTCCCTAAATGTTAGTGTGCTGCAAAAACACGGCTAAAGCACCGTGGAACCAAGGGGTTTAGTCACCAGAGCAGTGCAAAAACAAAGCTGATTTGTCAGGTTTAATCATTTGCCTTTAGCAACCAATCATATTTTATTTTACAGAAATCCAAAAAATTAATTTTGTTTGAGTAAAGATGAGTTTTTTTTTTGCATAGAGTAGAGAATGGGTCAACCCCTTGCCAAGTTTTTATTGCTGTCAATGTCCCATTAGGGCGATTACCATTTACGTCCTGCCTTGAAGACATAACAGGAAATGAGAGGAAATTTCTCCTAAGTGAAGGAAATCCCCCCTTAGACTGCTGTCCCTATAGGTAGATTTTCTCCTGTGACAGCTGTAACATTTTGGATTTCCAAATACTATATTTTTCACTCCATAAAACACACTTTCCCCCCCCAAAAAATGGGGGGAAATGGCTGTGCGTCTTATGGAGCCAATATGGAGTGGCCGACCCAGAATTCTCGCCACTGCCGTGTTAGAATACCAGGCTGGATGCTTGGCTCTTCGGTGCTTTCCTCAGACCTACCTGTTCCTCGGTCCAGCGCTGTGCTCACCATCTCTCTTCCTGGCGCTGGCATGTTTAGTGTGGGCACCCGGCTGTGACAGCTTGCGGCCTCACAAGCCCGTGTGCCCACCGCGCATGCGTGAGAAGCGCTGCGCTCTGTGAATGGTCCAGCAGTCTTCTGGGACCAGTCACATGTCCCAGAAGATGGGGAGGGAGGACAACTCTGCAGAAGTGGGAGCAAGTACCTGTCAATGCGGGTACCCACTCCCCCCCTCTCTGCTCCCCAAAGGTCCGCAGTGTGTGGTCATCCCCTGTACTGTGTCCGCAGTCTCCTGTCATCTCCTGTACTGTGTCCGCAGTTTCTGGTCATCCCCTGTACTGTGTCCGCAGTTTCTGGTCATCCCCTGTACTGTGTCCACAGTCTCTGGTCATCTCCTGTACTGTGTCCGCAGTCTCTGGTCATCCCCTGTACTATGTCCGCAGTCTCTGGTCATCCCCTGTACTATGTCCCTCAGTCTCCGGTCATCTCCTGTACTATGTCTGCAGCCTCTGGTCATCTCCTGTACTATGTCCGCAGTCTTGGTCATCTCCTGTACTATGTCCGCAGTCTCTGGTCATCTCCTTTACTGTGTCCCGCAGTCTCTGGTCATCTCCTGTACTGTGTCCGCAGTCTCTGGTCATCTCCTGTACTGTGTCCGCAGTCTCTGGTCATCCCCTGTACTGTGTCCGCAGTCTCTGGTCATCTCCTGTACTGTGTCCGCAGTCTCTGGTCAATCTCCTGTACTGTGTCCGCAGTCTTTGGTCCATCTCCTATACTGTGTCCGCAGTCTCTGGTCATCTCCTGCACTGTGTCCGCAGTCTCTGGTCATCTCCTGTACTATGTCTGCAGTTCTCTCGGTCATCCCCTGTACTGTGTCCGCAGTCTCCGGTCATCCCCTGTACTGTGTCCGCAGTCTCCGGTTCATCTCCTGTACCGTGTCTGCAGTCTCTGGTCATCCCCCTGCACTATGTCTGCAGTCTCCGTCATCTCCTGTACTATGTCCGCAGTCTCCGGTCATCATCTCCTGCACCGTGTCCGCAGTTTCTGGTCATCCCCTGCACTATGAAGGAGAACAACAAAAGAGAAGCGCACCAACCTTGCGCATTTACCCTCAGTAACCAAAAATTTATTGAATAAAAGAATGGTACTCACAAACAGCGAATAAAAACAAGCATGTAAGTCCTCAAGGGGACTTTAGAGGCAAGATGCCAATGCGAATCCCGTCATGGAGGAAGCCACTCAGTACAGCTGACGCGTTTCGAAGGACGTGCCTTCTTCCTCAGAGCTGACTGGACTGAGAGTGTGTGTTCCCATTTATGCCTCCAGACTGAAATAGGGCCCTCCCCTAAGGGTTGGGCTGTCTGGGCAGGGGAGGAGGGGCCTGGGTGTCAATCAATTGCAATACATGATCATCAAATTTTACATAGAACCATATAAAAACACAATATATATACACAAAGGGAAACAAATAGTGCTAAAAAAATGCTAAAAAATTTTTTCATTCATAAATAAATGCAGTTTGTGAATGCAACTAATAAAAGTTATAAGATTCCAAAAATTCATTAATTAACTATTGCAAATATTTCATCATTATTATTATTGTCATTGCACTGACGGTCAAGTGCATGAAATAAATGAAAATATAGAAAAAGAGAGAGAGGACCTCTCGCAGTTGGATGACTCATTCCTGGCCAGTGATTTCACAATTGTTATCACAAAGAGGACAATGCAAGCCAAAGTGTTTTGCTACACCTGGTGAGATCAATAGTGACAGTGTTGCTTTGAAAATATATATATATATGATTGAACATAACTTGTAGGAGGAGAAATTATATTCATATAATCCAGCAAAGGAATAGCATCTAAAGATGGTGAGGGGGACGTAGTAAGTTCAAGACGAATCCGCATTACCTGTATTGTTGGGTGTGTATTGATTGTTCAGCAGCAGAGGGAGAACTTGCCCACATGATGCGGCTATAGATGGAGTCGTTCGTGGAACGCACGCCGCTGTGGCGTGGCAGCGGAAGCGCATGCGCAGACCATCTCGCGCCTGCGCACTAGGACGGCATCAGCACGATCACAATGGCACATATCCAGTGCCTGATGCGCGCGCAACGGACACCGCTGCTCAAACCCCACAGGGTCCCTAGTTCCTCCTCCCCTACTCGCTGCTGCCCGATCAGATGCACACCGAAAGGAGTATGTGTGTATGTGTCTCCGGGTTGCCTACATGCAACAAATTGTTGGTGCCAATGTCAATTCCTCTAGCTGCAGATCCGCCAACGACTCTCTACATGAAAAGTGCTTTTTAAAATATACATGTGTATGCGTACCTCCACAGCAATACCTAGGCACATGCACATGAATAAATTCGATCATTGACCTAATTGAGAGAAATAAAATTATACATATATACATATATAATGCAAAAATATACATATATATATATATAAACACAGAATATATAATATATAATGACCACACAGTAAAACTGGTAAGAGTAATAAAAAAAAAAAAAATAATAATAATAATAATAATAAGGGTAATCAAAAATAGAAATCAAAATAGTAAGATGGTTAGACCAATAAATGCACTCTAGTGCACACACCTATGGGAAATGCCTACACCCATAACCACATATATAAATGTGTATACCTGTATATATGCACATACACGCATAAAAATAATCTTTTCCACTAAAATTAAAATAATATTAATAGAAAGGCCACGGATACCCATTTTATATTATATAACGGGATATACCGGCAAAGGGACATAGAGCCATACTCATAAATATGCACTCACATGTGTAGTAAACATACACATATACGTACACCAGACATACGCCAGACATATCTCTCACGGCTAAAGCTAAATGAGGGTATGTATTTCGAGGTCATCATTAAGGCCTCCAGGGGACAGGGTACCCAATGTGAAAATCCAAAAGCTTTCCCTCCTGGACAGTTCTTGATGTCTCCTCCCACTATCCAGGTCCCTGGTGATGGCCTCAATCCCGAACACCTTCATACCAAGATAGTTGCTAGAATGTTTTTCTTTGAAATGGCGGGGGGACTGAATAATTATCTTTCCCTAATTTGATACTGCTCTTGTGCTCACAGATTCTGATCCTAAGGCACCGTGAAGTCCGACCCACGTATAATAGGCCACATGGACAAGAATGCCATAGATGACAAAGGAAGTGCCACAATTGATAAATTGTTTGATGGGATACCTTTTCCCATCCGTACCTGTGAAATCTCGTTTTCGATGGCATATGACCTCACAAATACCACAGTTAGAAATGCCACATCTATAGCTGCCCTTTTGATCGAACAAAATTGACCAAGGGCCTGGGTTAACTGTCGTGGTTTTACGCACTCTACTTGGTGCTATTTGACTCCTGAGGTCTCTCGGTTTTCTAAAGATGAGTGTGGGCTTATCAGGAAGTGCATTCCCGAGAGTGGGGTCGTTTTTCAGGATTTTCCAATTTTGGATAGAATTTGTTTATTCTTTAGAATTTGTTATTTTTTAAGGGAGGGGGCTGCGATTCGTTCAACATCCGCAGCCCCATCAGACCAGTCAACCACGTCAATCCCAGAAAGGAAAAAGAGGGGAAGCGTACGAGACGAGGAAAGAGAGGAGGAAAGGGACACAAAAAGAGGAAGGAGACTAATATAGAAGCTCCCCTCTCTACTATTAAAATCTATAACTTATCACAATCAACCTTCTCGGATTCTGAACTTGAACTCCTGAAAAAAGGTTTGAATTTTGCCCTTCCCAATCCACCCAATCTGTTCGATCTCTTTGTAGATCTGAATAAATTTATCAGAAATCTGACAGTGAAGCGGTTTCTTTTTATTAAAAGACAATACGCCTAGTGAGAAGGAAAATCATTTACATCTCCTCCCTGATTGCTCCTTGATGGAGATGTCATTAGAAACACCTATGCTAGATATTCTAGAAAACATGTATACAGAGGATATATCGATAGACAACACATCTGAGTTTCTCAACTTTACTGAAATGGCGCTGGGTTCTCAGGGAGAAATCATGCACACTAATTTTTAAACCGAAATCTACTTTCTACCCCCATTGGGTTAAAGGCCACCACTTACCCACTTTCTATGAATCAGTGCTTACAGAATTCAAGAAGATCTGTAACACCAGTGCATCTACACAAAAACAGTACTTACAACAGGATCCACTTAAAGCCTCCCCTCAAAATCATTAAAGAAAATAAAAATGTAACTATTAGACAAGCTGATAAGGGAGGGGGGGGTCTAGTTATTCAAGACAGAGCCACCTACATTAGTGAGGCTTTAAGACTTTTTGAACGATCGTCAGACCTATGAGGTCCTCCCCACTGATCCCACTGTCCAGTACCAAGCTGAATATAAACTATTGCTGGAAATGGCCGTATCAGACGGGATACTCACGAAAGAGGAATTTCTTTTTTTTATACATCAAACATCCTGCTACTCCATTCTTTTATCATATCCCGAAAATACATAAGAATAGAGAGAACCCCCCTGGTAGACCCATTATTTCTGGCATAGGCAGCCTGACAAGCCATTTAGGCAGCTACATTGACCATTTCTTAAAAGACATAGTCACGAATCTCTCATCTTTCGTTAGAGACTCCAGCCATATATTAGAGATATTAGCTGAATATAAATGGGAACAGGGTTATAGATGGCTGTCCCTTGACGTAGTGTCCCTGTACACATCTATTCAACATGACTTTGGCCTTCAAGCCATTCAACATTTTCTAGCAAAAGATTCACCACTCCATTATACTCAGATCCAATTTTTGTTCAATTGCATTCAATTTGCACTTGAAACATAATTACTTTTCTTTTCTAGATAAATATTACCGCCAGATCCAGGGGTACTGCTATGGGAGCTCGTTTTGCTCCCAGTTATGCGAACATATTTATGGGTTTTTGGGAGAATGAATACATCTGGAGCAATAATCCCTTTAGCGCAAACCTAGTGCTGTACGGAAGATACATAGATGACATCATTATCATCTGGAAGGGTACTGATCTAGAACTTGAAGGATTTTTAAATCACTGCAAAAATAATCCATACAAATTTCCTTCACGCATGTGATTAATAACGACACACTGGTTTTCTTGGATTTAGAACTTAGACACGAGAGCAATGGTGTGATATGCTCAAAAACGCATTTCAAACCGACAGCAGGGAATTCCTATCTTCACGCTAAGAGTAACCATCACCCCCAATGGATTCGGAATGTCCCTTTTGGACAGTTTTGCAGGCTGAAACGCAACATGTACGCTCAAACATGATTATATTGAACAGAGCTGTATCCTCAAACAAAAATTCAAAGAAAAAGGTTATAAGGAGAATCTTATAGAGGCAGCCTACAACAAATATTTAGTGATGTATGACTCCAGTGTCCTTACAGACACCGAACATTTCTCCAAAAAACCACTCTCACTTTTAACAATAGGGAAGCACGCTTTTGTACCAGATTTAGTAGCAAGTCCTGGCATATTAAACAAATTCTATCCAAAAATTGGAAAATCCTGAAAAACGACCCCACTCTCGGGAATGCACTTCCTGATAAGCCCACACTCATCTTTAGAAAACCGAGAGACCTCAGGAGTCAAATAGCACCAAGTAGAGTGCGTAAAACCACGACAGTTAACCCAGGCCCTTGGTCAATTTTGTTCGATCAAAAGGGCAGCTATAGATGTGGCATTTCTAACTGTGGTACTTGTGAGGTCATATGCCATCGAAAACGAGATTTCACAGGTACGGATGGGAAAAGGTATCCCATCAAACAATTTATCAATTGTGGCACTTCCTTTGTCATCTATGGCATTCTCTGTCCATGTGGCCTATTATACGTGGGTCGGACTTCACGGTGCCTTAGGATCAGAATCTGTGAGCACAAGAGCAGTATCAAACTAGGAAAGATAAGTATTCAGTCCCCCGCCATTTCAAAGAAAAACATTCTAGCAACTATCTTGGTATGAAGGTGTTCGGGATTGAGGCCATCACCAGGGACCTGGATAGTGGGAGGAGACATCAAGAACTGTCCAGGAGGGAAAGCTTTTGGATTTTCACATTGGGTACCCTGTCCCCTGGAGGCCTTAATGATGACCTCGAAATACATACCCTCATTTAGCTTTAGCCGGTGAGAGATATGTCTGGCGTATGTCTGGTGTACGTATATGTGTATGTTTATACACATGTGAGTGCATATTTATGAGTATGGCTCTATGTCCCTTTGCCGGTATATCCCGTTATATAATATAAATATAAATGGGTATCCGTGGCCTTTCTATTAATATTATTTTAATTTTAGTGGAAAAGATTATTTTTATGCGTGTATGTGCATATATACAGGTATACACATTTATATATGTGGTTATGGGTGTAGGCATTTCCCATAGGTGTGTGCACTAGAGTGCATTTATTGGTCTACCATCTTACTATTTTGATTTCTATTTTTGATTACCCTTATTATTATTATTATTATTATTATTTTTTTTTTTTTTATTACTCTTACCAGTTTTTACTGTGTGGTCATTATATATTATATATTCTGTGTTTATATATATATATATGTATATTTTTGCATTATATATGTATATATGTATAATTTTATTTCTCTCAATTAGGTCAATGATCGAATTTATTCATGTGCATGTGCTAGGTATTGCTGTGGAGGTACGCATACACATGTATATTTTAAAAGCACTTTTCATGTAGAGAGTCGTTGGCGGATCTGCAGCTAGAGGAATTGACATTGGCACCAACAATTTGTTGCATGTAGGCAACCCGGAGACACATACACACATACTCCTTCGGTGTGCATCTGATCGGGCAGCAGCGAGTAGGGGAGGAGGAACTAGGGACCCTGTGGGGTTTGAGCAGCGGTGTCCGTTGCGCGCGCATCAGGCACTGGATATGTGCCATTGTGATCGCGCTGATGCCGTCCTAGTGCGCAGGCGCGAGATGGTCTGCGCATGCGCTTCCGCTGCCACGCCACAGCGGCGTGCGTTCCACGAACGACTCCATCTATAGCCGCATCATGTGGGCAAGTTCTCCCTCTGCTGCTGAACAATCAATACACACCAACAATACAGGTAATGCGGATTCGTCTTGAACTTACTACGTCCCCCTCACCATCTTTAGATGCTATTCCTTTGCTGGATTATATGAATATAATTTCTCCTCCTACAAGTTATGTTCAATCATATATATATATATTTTCAAAGCAACACTGTCACTATTGATCTCACCAGGTGTAGCAAAACACTTTGGCTGCATTGTCCTCTTTGTGATAACAATTGTGAAATCACTGGCCAGGAATGAGTCATCCAACTGCGAGAGGTCCTCTCTCTCTTTTTCTATATTTCATTTATTTCATGCACTTGACCGTCAGTGCAATGACAATAATAATAATGATGAAATATTTGCAACTAGTTAATTAATGAATTTTTGGAATCTTATAACTTTTATTAGTGCATTCACAAACTGCATTTATTTATGAATGAAAAAATTTTTAGCATTTTTTTAGCACTATTTGTTTCCCTTTGTGTATATATATTGTGTTTTTATATGGTTCTATGTAAAATTTGATGATCATGTATTGCAATTGATTGACACCCAGGCCCTCCTCCCTGCCCAGGACAGCCCAACCCTTAGGGGAGGGCCCTATTTCAGTCTGGAGGCATAAATGGGAACACACACTCTCAGTCCAGTCAGCTCTGAGGAAGAAGGCACGTCCTTCGAAACGCGTCAGCTGTACTGAGTGGCTTCCTCCATGACGGGATTCGCATTGGCATCTTGCCTCTAAAGTCCCCTTGAGGACTTACATGCTTGTTTTTATTCGCTGTTTGTGAGTACCATTCTTTTATTCAATAAATTTTTGGTTACTGAGGAATGCGCAAGGTTGGTGCGCTTCTCTTTTGTTGTTCTCCTTCACAGTTTTGTTTGGGCTTCCCCGCCTTGATGTGGAGCTGCACGACCTTGTCTATTCCGGTGGTCCCTTCCTTTTTGGAGTTTGATTCCATCTACTTACCACCGGCCTGGGTCCCGGAGCGCAGGAGATATTGCATTTGATCCCCTGCACTATGTCTGCAGTCTCTGGTCATCCCCTGTACTGTGTCCGCAGTCTCTGGTCATCCCCTGTACTGTGTCCGCAGTCTCTGGTCATCCCCTGTACTATGTCCGGAGTCTCTGGTCATCTCCTGTACTGTGTCCGCAGTCTCTGGTCGTCTCCTGTACTATATCTGCAGTCTCTGGTCATCTCCTGTACTGTGTCCGCAGTCGCTGGTCATCTCCTGTACTGTGTCCGCAGTCTCTGGTCATCCCCTGTACTATGTCCGGAGTCTCTGGTCATCTCCTGTACTGTGTCCGCAGTCTCTGGTCGTCTCCTGTACTATATCTGCAGTCTCTGGTCATCTCCTGTACTGTGTCCGCAGTCGCTGGTCATCTCCTGTACTATGTCCGCAGTCTCCCATGAGTTGTCAGTCCGCCCCTGGAAAAATACGTTAATTTTCATCACAGTGACAATGATCAACGGGACAAAAAAGAGGGTGACCCTCTCCGGCAGGGACATAGGTATCAAAAAGGAGTTCAATCCCTTTCCTGCTGTATCCAAAACAAGGAAAAACGTTTTGACCTTGACTAGATACACTTTTTTTTTGTGTTTTTGTGTACTGCAAATTAAATACCATTGTCAGTGTCAGGCTCAAACAGCATGGCAATGGACACATCTAATCAGAAATCTCTACACATCTTTACAAATGACTAGACTCTTGCCATGCAAAGACCCAAGGGTTTCTGATTGGGGTTTCTAATAAAAAAAGGGAATCAAAAACGAGTTGAATAGCCGACGCGTCGGACCCCGTTTATCAAAATATACAAAAGAACATTTTGTGTTGTTTCTTAACAACCAGATTCTTCCTCCAAGTGAAGCCTATTAGGGGTTAGTTATGTAAACTAGAGAACAGGGAAATATCAATGTTACCAACAGCAACCAATCAGATATTTGGATGCACTAAAAGAACATCTGGCATCTGAATTACTCCCTGGCTCCTAATCTCTCATAGGGACCCTGGTAACAGGATGTTTACCCTGAAAAAGATTTTACAAGGGGAACGTATTATTCTTTTTCTTATACTTCCCATTATGAAAAAATAGAACAGAAAGTCAAGACCAGGGGCGGACTGACCATTTGGAAACTCGGGCACTGCCCGAGGGCCCGGGGTCAGTAGGGGGCCCCATGAGATGTCCCTGGTACCCTTTTCATAGGCTTTTTTGAGTTTGGGTAAGGACACAGGGGCCCCATGATCCCCTATTGCCCGGGGGCCCCATGAGTTGTCAGTCCGCCCCTGGTCAAGACTCTTTTGGAGTAAGGGAAATGCTAAACTCAGGTCAAAAGAACTTTCTGTAAGGCAATATTCACCCCCAATACAGCGTATTAGTTTTTAGTGGGGCAACCTCTAATCACAGAACAGCTTGTATTAGACATATGCAATGCGTTTGCCATGAATAGAAGTAAGGACAAAGATTTTTTGTTATTCGGAGATTCAAATGTATCCAAATCTCTGAATCACAATAGTAATGAATTTCATTTAATCCAAAATAAATTATAATGAAAACAACAAATTAATTGGTGTCATTCGGATGACTTGATGCGATAGTTTGTGCCTTTTGTTAATGTTTTAAAGCATCCAAAATAAAGTAACGACATAATGAATGATCCAAATTGATTCAGGTCTTTTCGTTTTATTCGGATGAGGGCTGTGCGGTAGTCTTTGACTCTTGGATAATCAGACGATTTTTTTTTTTGTGTTAACATTTTTCATTATCATAAAAAATGCACTACATATGAAATGGAAACATGTTGCAATAAATGCAGTAAGGTATAAAAGTGAAAGAAGATGATTCCTACCAGGGGAGGACTGACAACTCATGGGGCCCCCGGTCAATAGGGGATCATGGGGCCCCTGTGTCCTTGCCCAAACTCAAAAAAGCCTATGAAAAAGGTACCAGGGGCATCTCATGGGGCCCCCTACTGACACCGGGCCCTCGGGCAGTGCCCGAGTTTCCAAATGGTCAGTCCGCCCCTGATTCCTACTTATTATGTTTGGGTTGGATGGAGGTGGATCCATCAAAATCTCCAAATCATAACATAACAAATGAATCCGAAATTAATTTTGTACCATTCGGTACTTTTGGATACACGCGACTCCAGTCGATGTCATCCAATCAGCTCATTTCATTTTTCTTTGTGGGTTGGACTAGCAGAGTGCTTATGTAATCTCCTGAAATAATGAATTCATTTGTTAAAATTAATATAGCCAATCTTCCGAAGCAACTTCTGAAACTACAAATTGATTCGAAACAACGAATATACAAAACACATTCTGAAAATTAATCATTCTAACATAATGAATATGACGAAACAAAATAATTTACTTAAAGTGTTATTAAACCCCAGACCCTGCATTCACTATATCCGGTCTCCCCAGACCCTGCATTCACTATATCTGGTCTCCCCGGACCCTGCATTCACTATATCTGGTCTCCCCAGACCCTGCATTCACTATATCCGGTCTCCCCGGACCCTGCATTCACTATATCTGGTCTCCCCGGACCCTGCATTCACTATATCCGGTCTCCCCAGACCCTGCATTCACTATATCTGGTCTTCGCGGACCCTGCATTCACTATATCCTATCTCCCCGGACCCTGCATTCACTATATCTGGTCTCCCCAGACCCCGCATTCACTATATCCTGTCTCCCCAGACCCTGCATTCACTATATCTGGTCTACCCCGGTCTCCCCCGGGCCCTGCATTCACTATATCTGGTCTCCCCGGACCCTGCATTCACTATATCCGGTCTCCCCAGACCCTGCATTCACTATATCTGGTCTCCCCGGACCCTGCATTCACTATATCCGGTCTCCCCAGACCCTGCATTCACTATATCCGGTCTCCCCGGACCCTGCATTCACTATATCCGGTCTCCCCGGACCCTGCATTCACTATATCCGGTCTCCCCGGACCCTGCATTCACTATATATGGTCTCCCAGGACCCTGCATTCACTATATCTGGTCTCCCCGGACCCTGCATTCACTATATCTGGTCTCGCCGGACCCTGCGTTCACTATATCTGGTTTCCTAGGACCCTGCATTCACTATATCTGGTCTCCCCGGACCCTGCGTTCACTATATCTGGTCTCCCCGGACCCTGCGTTCACTATATCTGGTCTCCCCGGACCCTGCATTCACTATATCTGGTCTCCCTGGACCCCGTGTTCACTATATCTGGTCTCCCCGGACCTTGCATTCACTATATCCCGTCTCCCTGGACCCTGCATTCACTATATCTGGTCTCCCCAGACCCTGCATTCACCATATCTGTTGTCCCCCCGGACCCTGCATTTCACTATATCTGGTTTCACACAGTACACACAACATGGAAATGCAATTCTGTTAGTAAATATAAACTGATAAATACCTTTTCTCATCAGCAGTATATAGCAGTCTTGTGACTTCTATCAGTGTTCAGCAGAGCACAGATTAAAGTTGTAGGATGAGTTTTCTTTCTGCTCTAGGAGAATGCAGAACCCCTGACCTCTGTCTGGACAGTGCTGATTGGCCCTGTGCTGATCCCATGCACTCTCCCAAGAAAAAAAAACCTCTCTAGCAATACACATCAAACTGAACATGTGCAGAGTGTCCCCACACGATATGTCTTATCAGAAGATAAGAGGGGGGCACTGGAAGAAGTTGAGGATCAGAGAAGAAAGGATCAAACAGTCTTTTTACACAATGCGGAGGATTACCCCTTAGGTTCCACAGTGAGTATAACAAGCATGCTTTACTACATATACAGACTGTTGTGGGTTTATTAACACTTTAACAAATGAATCTGAAACAAACACCTTTTTCGTCGTGCTCATCTTTAATTTATATTTGCACAAAAAAAAAAACCAGGTCATTTAATGGCAGAAGTGTCAATGGACTACGAGTGTGGTGATTACCGAACTTGTGTTCCATTGAGGACTATTAGTCCTCTGTGACTATGACTTGTAGTTCATTCATTGACAGATCTCAAAAGTGGCAGCTGCAGTTATCTATATAGAAAACCGCCGCAGACTCCTGCCAAGTGTGACCTTGTCATACAGGATGTGAGCTGTCAGCAGATAGCTTACATCCCTCTCTCTGCCTATACAGTGATTACATTATACAAGCAGACCTGCAGGATTAACAGCCCTCCTTCTCCTTCCACTCTGATCTGAGCGAGGGTGTAATGACCAGGGGTGGACTGACCATTTGGAAACTTGGGCACTGCCCGAGGACCCGGGGTCAGTAGGGGGCCCCATGAGATGCCCCTGGTACCTTTTTCATAGGCTTTTTTGAGCTTGGGCAAGGACACAGGGGCCCCATGATCCCCTATTGCCCGGGGGGCCTCATGAGTTGTCAGTCCACCCCTGGTAATGACAGTAGAGTAAGTGGAGCATGCAGCTCCAGCTCTCCTGTTCTCTGTGCTGTATCTGGCAGAGCCACAAAACAGAGAACTGATCGCTCCTAATTAATAAAAGGGATAGCACCCCTTTGGAAATGTAGGTGTTTGGAAGAGTACTGCCAACATTGTATAATTCCACCCATAATGCTTCACTAAACACAACACTAGCTCTTAAAATACGGCAGGCTGGTTGTACCCAAGTTGATTGATCTGCCAACTTGGGTACATTCAGCCAAAGTTCGAATCTCAGCTGGTTCCGCAGGGACCGGCCAAGATTCGAACTGTTTATGGTTGGCTTCAACCTGCAGCTTTGATTAAAATAATACATTGTGAGGCCATGAAAGTCCTTGCTGGGTCACTTCATTTTATAGGGTGACAATGCTCTGTCCCTGTCTCAGTATTTTACGCCTGTTTTTGTCGCCTTGTAGTCTACAAGCAGCCATGTTGTAGCACATTGCACAGGCATCCTCCACTGCTGTCACTCCCAGGAAAACCGCCCTAACAAATACCATACAGTCATCACCGGAGTGCAGGGGCGGACTGACAACTCATGGGGCCCCCAGGCAATAGGGGATCATGGGGCCCCTGTGTCCTTGCCCAAACTCAAAAAAGCCTATGAAAAAGGTACCAGGGGCATCTCATGGGGCCCCCTACTGACCCTGGGCCCTCGGGCAGTGCCCGAGTTTCCAAATGGTCAGTCCGCCCCTGCCGGAGTGCATGTAGACTGCAAAGTGGCTCCAGGACATCAGCACTGCTAATATGCATCAAAGGATAAATTAAAAAAATTAATAAAACAAGTATTTTATTTTTTAAAAAATGTCTATGGTTTATGATACACAGTGCTATAGGAAATAGCACAATAAATATCAATCAGTTAAGAGTTTTCCTTTAAGGAACAGGGATAATATGGAATGTGAAAGTCACATCAAAAATTCTGCTCAGGGAAACTTTTGAAGCCAAGTCAAGATGCGCACTGTGAAAATAAACTGTATTTTCCCTTTAATTGCTGCACAAGGGACAGTCATTCAGTACAGTCCTTGCTGATAGAAGTAATAAAGATTGTAGGATGCACGGATCGTGGTTGGATCGGATGGGAATATACGGCTTTACCTTGTGATGCAGTATTTCATTATACGTGGTTGTGAAATGATGGCATCATACGTAAAACCTACACCCCGGGGAATGATGACAGCATGGAAACAGCGAGGGACAGGGGTCTGCATACATCCAGCTCTGGATCCTTCTGATTCTTGCATACTAATTCATCATCTCTCTCTTTCTCTGTCATCGAGAATTAATGCCCTTAAGTCTTATACCAGCAGATAAAAAAAAAAATATAAACATTAATAATACAAGTCACATAAAAGTTTAATGGCAATGGACAGTTAATACTGCATGGATACAGATGTTTGTGCACCCACCACCCCAAAGTATTGAGTAACTAAGTCCTTGTTAATGAGTAGGTTCCTCCTTCAGGTGACTTTGAAGTATATGCCGAAAGATGAAAAAAGGATAATAGGTGCAGTAACAAATTTACATATATACTTAAATTTCTATAGATATCCTGTTTGAATAGACATATATATACTTAAAGCTGAAGTTTCATTCTGCTTACATTTTGCCTTCAATGGTTCTTCCCTCCCCCCCATAGCAGGAAGGCTACAATTGGGATACCACGTTTCACATTTCAGGTGGTTGTGGGGCCCCTTGCGACATCCAAAGAAATGCAATGTCCTTGACATCCTGTCAATGTCCTACCTTTCCTCAGACCTTGTGCTGGTCCATGTGCTGGCATCCATCTTAGGTGTCTGCAAAGCATTGTGGGATCCTTTATGCTTTCAGCCCTCTGCGGCTCCTCCCCCAGAAGTTGGCGGCTTATCACATATAAGTCTGCTGTTTGTGGCTGTCCATTGCATTCGTGTCCTGTCTGTTGCACAACAGTAAGCTCCTGTTTAGCTACTCAATGCTTTCCTGGATACCGACTCGGCTTTGGCTAAGACTCCTCCTGGCTCCTGATCCTGGCTCTGGCGACCTGTCAGGGCTCCAGGTATGACCAGAGGTGTGTGGACTGACACAGGGAAACGCAGGCTTCAGATATGGTACAAACAATATAATTTATTAAGACTAACAAAACACAGTGCAAAACTAAACATAAACACAGTGCAAACAAACCAAACCAAACCACCCACCGATAACAATACATACAATACAAAGAGTAGTCAGGCAGGCCGGGTCAGTAGCAAACGGGCAAACAGAGTACCAGGAACAGGCGGGAGAGTGGTCGGGGTCACAAGCTGGGTTCAGTAACTCACGGGCAGCGCGGTACAGAGGGTCGGGCAGAGAATGGTCAGGGCACAAGCCAGGGATCAAGCAGGAGAAGTCAGCAGAGGTCAGAATCAGGCAGAGTCGGCAACAAGTGAGGCAGAAACAGGAACAGGGACAGGAATACAAGATACAAGGTACAGGGGCCCATGGAAAAACACACACCAAGGCCCTGACTATGAGTCTGGCCATTCCTTAAATACAACCCCTGCAATCAGCTTCAGGTGTTTGGCCGATTGCAGGGGTGAGTCTCTGATTGCTGAGAGCACCCGCTGGCCAGCCCTGGTACTGCAGCCCACAAGGCAGGTGAGTCCCACCATTATTGGCAAGTCCATTCCTGACACGACCATTCTTCCTGGCTCCTGATCCCGGCTCTGGCGACGATTCTTCCTGGCTCTTGACCCCGGCTATGGCTACGATTTCCGCTGTTGGACTTGCATAGACTCTTGTCTTATTTTTTATATTAATATACCTACCTTTAATTGCACCTCCTTGTGTGTCTGGCTCCTCGCTCCCTGACACATCCAAAGTGGTGCACAAGCCATTTGAAGTTCTGCAAGTTCTGGTTGATATCTCCCTAGTTGTTGTCACTATAACGGCCTAACGATCAGCTTACACCTTGATGAGACAGATATTAGATAGCCAGCTGAAAGTTGCTGTGGAAAAAGTCAGCTCTACAGGGTATTTTCAAGATTCTGGTCTAAACTATTATTTATCTTATTCCATTCCCAAGTTTCACATTGACAAATCATTTTTGTCAATATATGAAAACACAGAAATATATATTTTTTTCTATAACTCTTTATATATCAATCTGCCATGGTTTGCTGTGAGGAATAATGGATTCGGGATGGTTGAGGGACTCCCTGCAGACTTGTATAAAATGTCTTATACAACTGAAGGGCTGTGAGTTCCTCCAAACTTGACGGGTAAGTGATCCCTGAAACAATTCAGTATTTCTCTGGGAAAAAAAATCCCTTTCCTCTTCTAGGCTAACTTTCTGCTCACCACGCCACTTCATCTATTGCAAATCACAGCCTAATAAAGTATTCTGCCAAACTGGAGAAGAAAAAGTTTCCTGTAGCAACTAGAGCTGATTGGCACTTTCTGCTGATCCAGACAGGGAAATGCAGCAGTCTAATTGACTATTAGAGTCAATTTTTTCCTTGGTAAGAGTAATGAATGAGAGTGCCACAAATGTGTAATAGGTCCTGCATAGATTTATTTATCATGATAAAAGTTTAGGAGGTAAAGGCCAATGTGTTTCAGGACCTCGAAACTCCCCCTTCATCAGGGCT